AATGAGGTTTAAGTGTGGAGATCTCATTTCATCCAAATGAAGATGCTGGTGCCGGAGTGTCATCGGTCCTGTCCAATTTCAGTCCGTAGAGCAGAGAGTGGATGCGGGACTGAGTCTTGAAGGCACACGCTGCTCCTCAGTACTCCATACTGTCCCTCTAGCTCCATGTTGAAACTCTTCCCATGGAGGAGCTTGACAGACCAGAGGAAGAAGGTTAGACTCACAGAAGCCTGGAAACTTAACCTCCTACCCCACCTTGGAGCGCAATGAGGGACAGAAACAGGCCGGTCACAGGAGGCCACCGGGGGCTTAGATCCCAGAAGCCATCTGGCAGCAGACCACGGGGGGTGAATGTCTGGACATGCAGACATTTGAAGGCACAATGTGGGCACATCAGCGGCAGGCCCGAGGGGTGGCGGTTGGGACACCTTCTCGCCGCCCGCCCTGCAGGTGTGTGTGAGCACTCTCCTCCCACAAGGCTTTGCCTGCACTGTGTTCACCTGGGAGTTGTAACTTTAGTCTTCAGAATTTCCCCGGCAGTTTCTTCAAAGTGTCCTTGATTAAATTTTTTCATGTTTTGACAGTTGTTTGAGCAGGAACTCTAATGTTGGAGAGAAGCCCATGGCAGTGTCATAAAGTGCTGTCATTTATTGAGGTTCCCTGCACAGCCTCCCCTGCTCCTCCCTGCTCAGAATCTCAAGTGGGGGAACTTCTGCTAAGCCGACCGGCTTCTCTGTGGCACGAGGCAGTTGGGCCAGGTGAGGAGTCACCTGTGCTGAGGGCAGCAACCTCTCCTCTTGAGAAACCCCAGGTGTGGGGGCAGTCAGCCCCCCGTTATATCCTTGTGGTCAGGTGAGTGCTCCCCTGGGCCTGTCCCGTATGTGACGCATCAGCAGGCCTGAGCCAGCAAGGTGGAGGCACACTTACTCAGGAGCCCTCGGTTTTTACGCTCGAAGTTTCCCGGCACCCCATCTATTGGAGGAGTCATGGTCTTCTCTTCCAGCTGAGCTGTAAGACGTCAAGTTTTGAGATTAGTAAGGCAAAGTTTTTGTTTTTTCCAAAACAGGTATCACATGTGGCTCTCCCGGCACATGCTCAGTCGGGCTCTGTATGACTTAAGAATGGTAAATTCTGGCGCTTTGTTGATTTCCTTTGCATTGTGTCACGACTCAGGATACCTCACACTGGGTGCAGGATGAAGAGGAGACACTGTACAACTGTTGCCTGCTAGAGAGATCTATATATATGCTACAACATCTGTATAGTGCCAGGACCTGTACATGCTACAACTGTGCGGACAAACATCTGTTGATGCCCAATTCCTATATGGACCGTGTAACCCCAGAGTGATAGGTCACTGGGTGGGGCTCCCAAGGATGCAATTAGGGCCCTTCTAAATGGAGAGCAGAGAGATCGCTCTGCTGGTCTTTCAGCCAAGTGAGGCTACAAGAGGTTGGGTCTGCAGCCTAGAGGAGAGTCCTCCCCCGTCCCGACCACGCTGATTCCCTGACCTCAGACTCCAGCGCCGGGGCTGTGACAATAGATTTCCGTAGTCTAAGCCATGGTGGCTGTTGTAGCGCCTGCATGGACTGACGGTGTCTCTGGAAGAGGGCAGGGCAGGGGCCTCTCATAGGAAGGTCGTGGAGGGTGTGGCCCCGGGTATGGGGAGAAAGAGGCAGCTTTTGAGAGAGAAGCTGGGCCTTGGCGGCAGGGGTCAGGAGGGAAGATGCTGAAGGGGCTTCCTTAGAGGAGCAGAGTAAGCGGGAAGGGTCGCAGGGACAGGCGTGTGTGGGGCCGTGTGGTCTGTTTCGGCGAGTGGGTGGCACATGAGGAAGTTGGAAAGAGGCTGGAAAATGAGTAGAAGCTGGAGGGGGTGTAATAACATGGACAGAGCAGCGAAGGGTTATGTTTGAGGGTGAGCAATTAACAGCAGGACAGTGTTTCCTTATCCCTTAATCTCATCTCGCGTCCTGTCCTTCTTGAGAAACCTGCCCCCTGTCTCCCCGTGACTAGGCTGCCTGGCGCTCCTAGTGGTCCTGGCCTTGTTCCATCCCAATCCATGCTCCCGGCATGATCACTCCTTAAGGCCACCAAACCCCATCCCCAGGATCTCTCTCCCAGCTTCCATGCCTTCCCAGGGGAGACCACGTCCTCCTGAGCGGGAGCGGGGGACTTACAAATCAAAGTGTCCAGGGAGACATGCTCTTTGCGTTCGGAGGGGTCATCGTCTGCAAGAGATGAGACACACAGTGAGGACTGACCCCAGACACCTGAGCCCCCCTCATCCTCACCTCAGGTGTCAGCAAACTAAGGACATGGGGACATCGTGCCCTTGGGCCGCATCATGTCTTCCAGCAGCTGCTCTCTGCGGCTGCACCGGGCGTCCTCGTGCAGGTTTCTAACCAGGGGCCGCTCGGAGCTGCGTGACTCTCCCTGCAAACTCTCTTCCCTGCTGGCTGCGGCCTGGGAGGCGCCTGAGGTCCCTGTGAGGGCCAGCACCGTGGCAGGGGGTGCAGCTCCCAGTGTGCAGGACAGCGCAGCCCGGGGCCCAGGCCAGGGGTTCTGATGCAGCTTCAGTGTGAGGAAGGCGGACACGCCCCTGCCTGGAAGCTGCACCCCGTGATGGAATCCTGCGCCCCCCGTGTGGGTAGCGCTGGAAGGGACATTCAGCCAAGTCTCCAGAGAGAGCCAGCAGGGTCTAATCTATTCTGCTGTGCATGGCTGGCTCTTTGGAGGAATCGTCTCTCGGTAGAGATGACAGAGGAGGAAGGTGCAGTCAGGCGACCTTCCCTGTTGGTTTGTGCGGGGACAGGGGGAGAGAAAGCTGTCTGTAGGTGAAAGACCAACGAGAGGGGAGCTGATGTGAGAGGGGCAGCGGGGTGTTCCCAGCAGGAGCAGCGCCTTGTGCTGCAGGAGGGCCTGAGAGTCCCCACCACAGGCTGCACTGGGCCTGGCCCGCGGGTCCCGGGCTGTGTCCTTCTGCAGCCCCTGCTGCTGCCTGGAGGGACCATGGCCCGAGTGCCTGGGGGCCCAGAGCTCCTGCAGGAGCCGCGAGGCTGCAGCCGTGGTGAGAGGGGCTGTGTGGAGGGGGAGCCCGGACAGCCTGAGAGGCAGGGGTCCCTCCTGTTCAGTGGGGTGAGGAGGCAACATGTGCAGGAGCAGGGGGGGCAGACGCTGGAAGAGGTAGAGGGAGCAGGAGGGCACAGGGAGAGAGACAGGGGAGGGCAGAGCTCAGGCAGAGATGGAAGAGCGGGGGGCGCAGGGATGGCCACACTCACCAGCCAGAACCAGGGTCCCGGCCAGAGCGGCCAGGAACAGCAGAGCGAGGACTCTCATGCTGAGGGATGGGGTGACGCAGCCAGAGAATCCGCAGAGGGTCCAGGATACTGTCCAGGCTGACCACTGGGCCCCTTTTAAGGAGATCAAGGGCCAGTAGGAACCACGTAAACACGCGTGACCTCTGCGTCCTCTGCCCTCTTCCCCCGAGGTGCCCTGATAGGTCCACAGGGCGCGCCCAGGCTGGCCGAGGACTGGGCCTGTGGGAGGCCTACCTGTAACCCGGAGCATGCCCGCTCCCTCGCCCCCTCCCCACCCCACTTGCCCTTTGGGTTCATATCTTTGGGATCTCCGGGCCCCGAGGCAGAGGGAGTCTTGCGGGAGGATTTGGAATGTGTCTCTGGAGGTTATGGGTAGGTTTCCTCCTTTCTGGTGACTTTCCACAGGAGGTTCGTGGCTCGGGACATCACGCGCCGGCCTCCTACCTCAGCCTCCCCTGGACTCATTCCAGGGACTGGGAGACTTTCTCTCAGGAGTGATCCTTTCTCTTCAGGCCACAGTGCCTGAGCTCCCACCTCCCTCCCTTCCACACGGGGTGGCTAAATATACCAATGTCTTTTTGGGAATTGCCTGCCTTCAACTGGTTGTCTATGTCCTGGGAGGATGCCCCCAAGCCCCTGCAGGCACCCCGTCTTCAGTCCTCATCGCCGTGAGAACGTTGTGGTTACAGGAGGGTAATCATTCCTGGTGTTGCCAGATGGTGCTCCCTGACGTGGATGCTGATCCATGAGGGGAAAACCCAGATAAGCAAACAATTCCCTGTGAATTATGAGTCCTTGCTCCTTGGAGCAGAGATTTAAGGACCCGGGTTTGAGTTCTGCATTTGTGCTGCACACAGGAGACATCGCTGTCATCGGCAGACAAACTCTGTGGGGCTTTCCTTTGTCATCACGGGAGAGTTTGGGGTTTAGTGAGAAGCTATAGGTCAATGTGATTTTAGACCACAAACTCCTGTCGAGGGCTGAGGCGTCCTAGTTCCTCACAGAAGGCACGTGGTGTGTATAGATTTGGTGCAGGGTGGTGCTCAGTGGTGAAAGAAGAGAGTTTTGGCAAAAGAGGGGCCGGGTGAGGGGCTGGGTGGGGAGAAGCCGAGTCCAGACACCAAGTTGAGCTTCTGCGTGTGCTGGTGCTGACTCTCCTCAGGCCGGGCTGCAGGCAGGGACCGGGCCTCTGTGGTCTCCAGCTCATGGCAGCTCTGATGACTGGCGTGGCAAGAGTTTCAGGGAGTTTTCAATTGAGGTAACATTCTTTGACAACACTCTAGGTCTTTTGGGATTACAGCTTCTTACTTAAATCACGTGTTACAACAAAGTATCTACCAGGCATATTATTTGTGTTGTCATTTTAAGCTAGATCTGTCAAGATCAGGGCATTTCTGATGTCCCTGCTCAGCCCTCTCCCTCTGCCGGGCTCACCCCAGCCTCAGAGATGAGACGGGCGGGCAGTGACAGCGGGTGGTGAGGTGCAGAAATCCCCAAGCTCACTGTTGCTCTAAATATGGGTCCTTTGTTTGAACAGGGCAGGAATATGAAAGGAAAGAGGCCACTCCATGGTCTGAGTGAGCGGCTTGTCCTCTGTGGTGTCTTGTCTTCCAGGGAATATGATTCCACGACTGTCCATGGCTAGTCTTGTCATTCCTCAGTCCTGACTACCTGCTGTCCATTCTCTGCGTCCCTGTGTTTCCTTCCATCTCTGCGTGGTCTGAGGATGACCTTTGTGGATCAAGCACCTGACTCCCTTGTGCCCAGCTCCTAGTCCTGACCGGCCTGTGGGCGCGTGGTGAGAAGTGACCAGATGGCAAGACAGAGCGGCAGACCCTGTTCCTCCTGCTCCCTCCAGTTTGGCCCGTGTGGTCTGGGGATGCTCAGACAGTGCCCAGTGTCCCCTCCTGGTATTCATGTCCTATGTCATCCCCTCTGTCAAGCATGTGCTCAACCTAGTAATTTTCTTCTGCTTTATAGAAAATGGTGAAAGTGATGTCTGTCTGAGATTATGAAGTGATTATGAAAGAATGTGACTTCTGTCTTGCATACACACACATATACACACACACACATACACAACATACACACACATACATACACACACTCTCTGTGTCATGCTCACTCAAGGGGAATCTCATAGCGTGTTTCCTCTGTTGTTATGAGGCCCTCTGTGGAGAGGGCCAGACAGGAAGGACTAGGCAAGCCTCCCCTGCAGTAAGAGGGTCCCCATCCTGGCAGCCTACAAGCCTGTCCCTGAGCTTGTGGTTGTGCCTGGAGGTGACCTCAGTCTCCACTGTCCCTTCATTGCAGCTGCCAGAGCCTCTGAGCAGAGCACCCAGTGAGTGACCTGGGCCCGCTCACAGCACCCAGGAGGTAAACATGATGTTGTTGGAGCGGCCAGGAGAAGGGAAATGTTGTGCAGCCAGAAAATCAACCAAGCACGTTGTGGGAGTGTGTGTTCCTCTGTCCTGCAGCTTCTGCAGGGGGCTGGCTCCCCAGCCCCATGTCCTGTCTGGTCTCAGCAAGGACGTCTCTTCCTGTCGCTGCTTGGTTTTCCGGGGTGGTGATGGGATATGCTGGTGGAAGTTCCTATCTGCAGCAAAACATACTTATTTTTCTGTAAGATTCTAAAATAAGCCCCTCCTAAGTCTGCCTCTTTCTCTGGCAGGACACGGGTCATAAAGCCATGGAGAGCCTTCCTCGTACCCTTTGTCTGTCATGTTGATCACAGTGGCTCAGGGATGTTGACATACACCAGCCTTCGCTGTGCAACCAACATGTGGATCCTGCGACACTCATGGACGCCAGGTAGTGTGTGGAGGTAAAGAGAAATCTTATATGCCACTGGAGAAAGCTTTCCACACCTTACGGGGAAGGTCTCTCATTTTCTATGCCTGGCTTTACAGGGGAAGTGGGGAGTCCAGGGAGAGCACCCCTCATCCACAGAGAACTCCAAGGACTGTCCCCTCCTGCCTGGGGGCCAAGAAATGGTCTCTATTGGCGCCATGTGCTCAGCACCTTCACTTGAGAAGGTCAGGCCTTCCCACAGGGCCCCTTGTTGACACACAGGTTATTTCCAGCGGAGGCCAGTGGAGCCAGGCACATGCTGGAGAAACTTCCATCAGGCCCCAATTACCCAGAAGCCTGTAGATAGGGTTCTCATCAGAAGGAGGTTGCTACACGGTGTGAGCTCTCCCTGTGAAGAGCCACTCTGAGTTCCTGGGCAGAGCATTTGTCCTTTGATGTGTGAATTCCTGGCACTGACCCTACAGTCAGGCACTGACCCTACAGTCCCCATGGAGCCCAAATCCCCTGTCCTCTTAACTAGGTAGGTGCCCGGATTTGCCTCCCTGTCTTTGGAATCCTCTCTCTGCATTCCTAGGTTCCTCTACACATGCGATTAAATCTGTTTTCTCCTCCTAAACTCTTTGATGATCACTTGATTATTTCACAAACGCAAGAATATCCCAGAGGGTAGTGAGAGATGTTCCCTCCTCTTTTATAGATAGAAATGTCCAGATAGGTTGTTGAGAGAAAGGTTGGGACTAAATGTTATGCATTTCAATGCCTGCAGGTATCTGGCAGGCGATGTGGACAGCCAGGATAGCCGTGGCCAGGCAGCAAGTGCGGGCCCAGTGAGGAAGGGTGACTGTGCCTCGACCTCTGGGCGGGGAGTGGGCAGGAGGCTCTGGTGCCACCTGGACATGCCTGTTCACTTGGGCAGCTGTGCTGACCCACCAGGGGCTGCTGCGGACACGCAGACCCTTCCAGTGAATTGCAGATTTCCCCATGAGATCAGTTGATTTTTCTTTCTTGCTACTTTACAATACATCATGTGTATGTAGTATTTTACCTTCTAACTTAGATAAAATGAATTTTAAAAAATAGTATAAAAGTCATCAATTCTCTTTTCAGATCCACTGGGACAGGCCTTGCTGCTTTTCCATTGTCTTCTCTTTGTTTTGTGATCAATTTGAGAATGGGAGCTGAACTCTTAGTAGATTTGATAGAAGATTCCTTTAGAAGGGAGTGTGCTTTTCTAGGCTGTCTTTATGGTGTAAAATCCAGGTTATTGTGTTTAATGTTAACTTTGTTAAAAATGCATTAATTGATCACTCAGGGCTCGCTGGAAAATTATTATTCTGCAAACTGTGCTTGCAAATATGCCCTCACATAACAGCTTTCCCTTCACGTTGTATTTCACAGTCTCTGTGTTTTTGCTTCCTCTGATGGGCAAGAGCCCATCCAGTTTCTAATCTTAAAGCCTTTCTGCCTTCCAGACAACTTTAAGTGACCCTGTCATGATGTTTGGCTTAATTCCAGTCACTGCCATTGTTGTGGATCCTCTGGGAGTGATCATTGCCTTAGTCCTGGGTATGGTCCATATCTCAAGCCTCACAGCATGTTCTACTTCCTCTCTTTGGCCTGGCAACCTCCAGGCAGCCATTTGCCTGTTGTTCCTTTTCTAAATCCACTGATGAGCAATGTGAAATCCCAGGTTGCTTCCAGGCCCTCAGTGGAGCAGTAGAGTGAGTGGGAATGTTTTCTGTGGCTCTTTCACTGGTTATAAGGGAAACCATCCTGCCTCGGGAATGTCTAATGAAAACACTCACCCGTGGTTTTGATCACTCTGCCCTGTGGAGAAACTGCCCAAGGAGCACAGCATTCATTAGGTCACATTTCCACCAGAAATTTCTCTCTCTTTGCAGTTCCATGGCCATGACCCTGAGTCTTGCCAACAACATAGTCCTTTGATGGTGGCGTCTACGCTAAGTTCCATGCGATCTGACCACGCTCCTTTCCAGCTAGTGTTTGGAACTGGTGTTGCTGATGACTGAACAACCTTTGTCAGGCAGGTGTGAAGGCTGAGCAATTGCCCAGCTGAATCCCTCAATGACTGCCTGGAAAGGACATGTCCCCATGACCACTGTAGCCTTTATAAAGACACGGCCGATTCTGATAGGAGATTGTGACTCAACCAAGAGAAATACTATGCGCCCCTCACCGATACATGGGAAGGACATGCTGCCGTTTTAACAGCTCGCATTCCCCTCTTCCACCTCATCCAAGTTTTCTTTATTGTCAAGGGTCACTG